AGGCGCTATATAAATATTTATTTATTATTATATTATTATTATTATTATTATTACGATAGCCCGTCATCTCAACTCATTCGATTACAGAATGAAGCAGTTAGAATAATGAACGATGTTCCTTTACAAGTTTCTATTACTCCTCATTATGTTAATTTAGGTTTACTTAAATTTCGTGATATTGTTAAATTGTAAACATGTTTATTGATGTATGAACATATCAGTGACAATAAGCCTTGTAACTTTTTAATATCTCTCGTACTTGTGCAACATAATTATTCTACACGAAGTGCATCTACCCAACAGTTGTTTGTTCCTCACTTTAGAATAAACATAAGGAAGTTTTGCCCCACCGTTATTGGTAAATACTACTGGAATGACCTCCCTCCTTCTGTTCGAAGTATTTCATCTAAACCTCTCTTTAAGAAGGCGCTTTATAAATATTATTTTGCTCAGTATTAAATTTAGTTGATTGCAGTCATGGTGTGTATGTTGTGTGCTTGTGTGTGTTTGTGTTTAAAAAATGGTAATATACAGTATTTTAAGGGCCTTGATTAGTCTCACTATATTGTGCCCTTCTCCATTTCGTGCTTTATTTAATATCTTTAAATATCTTTAAAGAAAGATATCTTCTAATGTAATAAAACTTTGTAATATAAAAAAATATCTTTGTAGTATAATAATAAATGGAGGAAATAAATCAAAACAAAAAAACAAAACAAAAACAAAATCAATCCTCCCAGAGCACCAGGTGCTAACTTAGAATTTATCTATGTAACTAAGCTGTCGTTTTCAGGCTTACTGTACAAGTTCCCAGGCCGTGAAATGACTTGTGAAGCACTGCAAAGCACATCATCAGTTATCTTAATCCAGTGCTAAAGAAGGGGGTACTCCCAAAGCTTTGGTATGTTTTGGAGCACATTTAAAAGTTATCTTCATTATAGGACCGCTTTCTAATGAGTGGGTGGCTCAGTGACCTAAGGATTGGCGTGTTATTCGTCGAATGCAGTGATCTGATCTGGGTGCCGGGGTCTTTGTGTTGTGCTGTTTGATAAGACTCACAATACTTCCCTCTACCCTCTTTTCCATACTACTAGAAACTTTTCGTATACGTACAAGTTCCTACTGAACGCCTGTTGTCACGCAAGACTGGGCTGAGAAATTCACTTCTCCGAGTACAAGAAACAGAGATAACAAAATATCACTCTTTTATTTTTATAAAATATATTCACACGTCGGTGTCTGTGCCCAGTTGACACCATTAAAATACATTATACATCACTATATAGGCTTGTTTTTTTCCATAAAAATAATTATCAATGCCATTTTTTGAATTCGTTAATTTATAATTTGAGGGATCATGATTTGCAAGAAGCTTTTTCCATCAGTCAGTCAGAAAATACAGCGGGTACTCACGAATACTCGCGAAGACTTCGACTGTACCATTCGAACCACTGCAAGAAAAAATACAGGCTTACGATATGGTAAAGACGGTAGTTCACGGTTATAACGTAATCAGAAATGATTAAGAATGCCACATTCTTGTATCTTCATCATGTCTCATCTCCAAGTCGTTTAGCTTGCATTTTCACAAATTAAGTTTCAGACGGATGTCCGCGCCCCTGATATAACAGACCAGCTGCACCGTTCTGCCGCACATGCGTGGAATTTCCCATCAAGGGACTAATGCCCACGACCCCCACAGCACTTCGATCTTTGTCGCCTTTCTTTTTCTTCTTCTTCTTTTTTTCTCTTCTCCACTCCTGTAATTAAAATGGACACTCGTAACTGCGCCGCTTTAAGGCAACGTGATCCTAGTTGGACCACTCGGTATCGCTGCCTGGCATAACATACCCGGGTATCATCGAGCCCTGAAGTTCTTATGACAGCAAGTGTAGCGTGTTTCAAGCTCCCAGATTGTAAATCACGGTGACAAATGGAACATTAACGAACACAATAAACTGTAATGGAAAATACAGAGTGCATTTCTACTCAGATTCAGATTAGAATCACTTACTCAAAACACCTCCACTGCCAATCTGCGGTCCTCCAGTTCTTTTTCCGTGAGTCTCTAGTTCACGAAGGATTGCTTGTTCAAATGTTATGGCTGCTATACGACGGAAAAGCTCTGTGACATTCTCACCTACGAATTTAATAGCTATCATTAATTATTGAGAGTCTACCAGGTATATTGGCAAAGAAAAGGAAAACTTGTGTAGAAAAAAAAGCTAGTAAAATAGATGAACAAACGCAAAGAGAATTGTAAAAAATATAAATTTGTGTTTCAAGATTTGATCGTCTTTCAGCGCACTCCCTGCCACGATTCTTTCGCTAAATGCGTGTCTTATCATTTATGTAGTAAATGTCTTCATCAAATAAGAATTTCCAACCATGCAGAAATCTGTGCTTTCCGAAAAAAAAAAAGAAAGAGAAAAGAAAAAACTATTGAAATACTGTTACATCTTTTTTGGGATTGTGCCAGTGTCCAAACCTATCATCAAACCATTCACGGTTACAATTGCTCACTTCAACATCACGTTAACTCATGTAACGTTGTTTTAATCGTTCCTACTTGCTTGAGATTAGTCAACAGTGCCGAACATAGACTTGTACTTTGTACTTAAGAGAAGCAGGCTACTGTACTTCGAAACTTTTCAAATATTTCAAGTTATTCATAACGAATGCGACCTCGACGTTCTTTTCCTTCTTAATTTTCTTTCATATCAGTAGTATAAAAAGTACATGAATGCACTTTTTTCCAACGTAAAAATGATGTTGTAAATTACAGGGTGCAAGTTTTTCCCTCTGCAAGTAAACTAACTGTTTCTTTATTTGTTTTTCAACAAAGATGTAACGTAACAATACGAAGTAACAAAACAAAAGTGAGAAATGTATTGTAATATTACATTGTACGTAAGGCATTGTTCGTAACAATAGTATTTTAAGAATTAAAGTTATAAAGCATTATGATAATAAAGCAAATACATGATCTATTGTAATGCAGTAACACATCCTGAGCAAGTACTGTAAACAGTATGATTTAATAATAATTATATATAATACTAGTAGTATTCAAGATTAGAGCAGTGCGTTCACGCCCGTACTTTGCATGTTTGATCTACTTTGGTGGCGTTCGAAACTAAGTTTGATCGAATGTCAGACAACGATCTGCACGTGAAGTTGAACTAGCGATGAATAGCTTATAGCCTACGATAAATTAACTTGTACTGGACAAAATATTTTCCAGGAAATAAAATTTGAACTGTTGTCGACAATTAGAACTCAATTTCAGATCGCCAACAATTGTAACAAATATTTCTTGAGACAATCAAGTTTTGACCAGCGACCCTGCAAGACAGCGCGTCGCCAAATGTTTTTAAATTTTGCGTTTGTATTTGTTTACATTGCTAAAATTTACATTTTGTTCAGTTTCACAAATGAAAAAGGTGAATTAACCATTCTGACTACAAAACACGGCCTTTTAGCGAGTTACACAACACGGGAAGTTTGTTTTCTGACAACCAATGAATTTGCTGAGCTACAAATCGAAAAATTTATTTTCTGACCACAGATCTGAGGGTCACCATGGCCAGTTGCCTTGCTACACGGAAGATTTGTTTTCTTACCCCAAGTCATGGCCATTTGCCGTCGCCGAGCTACAAAACATTCTTTCCTGATGACGCAGGCTCAGTTACTTGTTGTCGAAGGATAGCGAGTCAAAATACATGCAGTTTTGCAGAAGTCATACACACTTTCTTCCAATCTATACGGCGAATACGTGACTGTGTGCTTTGGAGTAATAGAGTTTGAGGAGCAAGCAAAACAAAAGTCTCTGGAGAAAAACTCCAGAGGTACGGACGAGAACCAACAACATACTGGGCAACCCGAAAACACTAACCCCCGGTCCGCGGACCCCTCTACGGATCGGGTCCGCGGACGACCTATGGACCCGCCCACGGACTACCCCTACTGACCCCCTCTAAGGACCAACCCCCAAAATGGAATAAAAATAATAAACAAATATTTCAGTTACGGGTTGCTGAATAGATTACTCGTGTCGGCGAAATTTCGAACGTTACATTCTGCAAATTTATCAGACTTGGGTTCAGGCTCAGGCGCAATTTATATCATTACACATTGCCATTTCCTTTGCCATTTTGTCCATCCCATTTTCCCGTGGGTTCGTGAACTCCTTCCAGGCTTCACAATTTGCTCAGCGGAATTACAGATATTATTATACATTGAACTCACTATCTCTTTTCTGATTGGTCGAAAGCGCACAGTGAATTTTCGANACAATAATCATGTCAAGGACATTCAAGGTCACGGGTAATCATGTCAAGTTCGCACGCTTTGTGTTGTCAGTGAAGAAGCAAAAACATGACTTCCATTTTCTTCGTTCAATGTATAATAAAACAATTATTAGATTCGGTTTTTGTGATAATGATATCCAGAATAATCAAGGTCTTGGTAAGGGTTATCAGCCTCTGCCTTCGGCTTCGGCTGATAACCCCTACGTTGACCTTGATTATTCTGGATATCACGAAAACCTCATCCAATAGTTGTTTATAAACAAGCTTAAACGACCTAAAAACACATCTTTCATACCCAGATTGAGCCACGAATGGAAGGTAAGAACTTTCCTTCTTTTTGCCATCGGCATCTCCTTACGCTGAAAACAGCTTTNGGGGGTGTGTTAAAAACACTCGAAATTTCCCCGACACGAGTAATCTATTAGACAACCCAAAGACGAAATCTTTATTTATTATTTTTACACTATTTTGGGGTGGTCCGTAGAGCAGGTCCATAGGGGTAGTCCACGGACCCGGTCCGTAATGGAGTTCCGCGGACCGGGGATCAGTGTTTTCGGGTTACCCCAACATACTCAACCCACATGTGACACTGGATCCAGGATTGGAACCTGAGGCACACTGGTGAGAGGCGAGAACTCTTATCAGTGTACCACTCCTACCCCCAATCCTAGGCTATTGCCTGTTCATGAACAGATAAAACAAAATGATTAACAAGGTTACAAAAGTCCAACGTGAACGAGAAAGTACCTGATTTGGATGAAACACTCCAGTATTCTGCATTGATGTCTTCTGCTACTTTTAAGGCACTCATCTCCATCTGTGAGAAGTTAGTGTCTTTCTGTGGTAATAAATTCAGCCAAGTTACAAATTGTGTTTTTAACACAAGATGTTTAACACAACTGAATGCCCCCTTGCCAGGTTCCTGTACAGCTTTCTCCCAGGCCTTCACGGGAAATTGAACGAGACGAACGCCCACTTTTCGCCCCAGACATGACGTAAAAACGATTGACTGAGGCGAAATATTGAGGCCTAAGAACTAGGCAAGATGCCTCCACCATCCGTCCCCATCACATTGCAACTAATAAGAATTACTTTAACCAAATCGGCAATTAGCCAATCAGAAGCCTTGTCTACTGCTAGGTGTAGCTAAGCGCATTGACCACTATAAATAACAACATTTGAACATTTTTTTGAACTGCCAAGTCACTGACACCAGATTTTCGGCCCAATTTGGCTAAAGTAAATCACTAATTGTACCTTTTCTGATATGCTTCAAGCAAATCAGCCTTGTTTGGTCTTGCATGGGTATTTGGCTCATTAATAGGCCATTCTGCATCCTACCAAAATACAAACCATGGCTGGACCAAACTCAACTGGCATGCTGCCAAAGCCTACCAACAGGTACAATTATTGAGTCCAGTTGACAAACTATCATAAATTATAATTAATACAGATAATTATCATCTATCTTCTGTTGCAAATAATAATTATCAGCAATTTAATGCCTTTTTTGCACAATGACTTCTACAACAATTCAACAGGTTCGTTTACTTCTGCTTTCCTTTGCATTATCCCCATGAATGTTTACCATAGTTTATTTTTTCTCTTGATCCTGCAGCAAGCAATATTGACCTGACCATAAGCACCCCATTTGAACTGTGTACAGTTTTAAAAGAAAATCAGCCATACAGCAGAAATATTGAAAAAATGGAAAGAAGTAAAACCCTACTTACACAGAGATCCTTCTTGGAGCCTACAAGGAAAATTTCAGGACATGTTGTTGTGTTTTGTTCCAAAGCCTCTTCCAGCCATTGTCTGTATCAAACAAAAAAATTGTACATTTAGCCTAGTCTGGGGAAGAGACAAAAGAGGTATCTTAAACTACCAGGAATCCTGTCCCCCGTCTTGCCGAACTGCTACTGAATTAGACTAATCTGCTTAACATTGACATTCTTAACACAGTTTTTTTTTTT